ATTTTGGCAATTCCAAATTCCAATCCCTCTCTGCCTCAGCTCTCCATGGAAACCCAACAGCCCTCAGGCTTGTACCAGGGAAGATGGAATGTCTACTGCCCTTTCACCCTTGGGTGTGACCACCAAGAAAAAACTATCTATAACTATAATTCAGATACATGAAGCCAAATATTGATACATAATATCAGTGTAATTCAGTGGGAATTGAGTAATTTAATCCCTGGGCTTGATTTATCTGACCAGATAGCTGCTTGCATCTCAGCTACACACCCAGCCTCCCTTAATGCTCAATGGAAAACCAGGGGTACTTCTAAAAATTATTCATCCCAGTCTGAAATGGATGTTAACTTTTGTTGTCATTCAGAAGAATTTATTTTTCCTTCTTTTAATATATAGGGAGCCAAAGGTGATTACAAAGTTGGATACATCTACCCTGCAGATGTCAGAAAACTGGTGAGATGAATCTCATCTCTAAAGACTGTAAAAGGAGAACAGGAGCCAGGGTGGGACTGGAAGCAAACCAAAGCTGTGGGACACGATTAAGAAAAAGGGAATAGTCCTATCAAGAGTTAAAGTTCCACTTTTGCCCACCAAAAAAGAAGGTTTATTATAAACTGATACGAGAAAAATAAAAGTAACTAATAGTGAAGATGCTAGATCTTCCACTGACTGTTTGCAGATCTCAGATAACACAGAGTGGGATGCTGAAGTACTGCTCTGAAAATTCAGTGTGATGTCCTGCCTGACATTGGATAGTGAAGAATTTCCTCTAGTAAATCTCCACCTCACGTCCATGACTTGCCTCTGAGCTATACTTCATACATTAGAGAAACGTCAGTCCTGATTCAGCAGCTGCTTATTCAGCGGCTGCATTTGAGTAAATCACAAGTAGGAGGTAATGAAACCACTGGGAACGTAAAATACGAAGGGCACAGATCAGATCACACAGCTTTTAGTTCAGCAGCACTTTGTGCTTCATCAGAAGTTGTTTTACAGCGATGCAGGAGAGATTTGAATGACGCCCAAGTTTTTAAAAAGCAGCTTAATAATAATACATACCATTGTTTCTCTGCTGTTGATTGCTGATCCTGTACATTTGGCTATTACTTTATCAATGCACTTCTTATGAATGGCAGCATTACATTCTGAAAGAACAAGTATGTTAATAAAAAATGCCTTAAGAAAAGATCAAGTGAAAAATGATAGTAACCAAAAAGCAAATAAATAAAGTTCCTTACGTCTGCATTGATAGCCTTGTTTATTCAGACCCCTGAAATAAACAGAGAAATGGTTAATTCTGAAATTTCTGAAAGCTTCCAGAGAAGAAAGGAGAGCAATAGTTATGAAAGAAACAGAATAAACCAGCTTTGCTTTTTATCAGTTTTTACAGAGCTTCTCTTATCTAAATACCTTCATTCAGTCTAACTGTGGAGTGATTCTCTGTGGTTTTCACAGCCTTTTCAGCACATATCCCCATTCTGAATTTCACAATATCCAAAGAGCGAACTGGGCTGATGAGAAATGTCTGAGCATTTGGCCAAAGACAAAAATATTTATAAAAAATAAACTAAAAAAAAATGAAGGGAATTTTCACAGTTGGAATTACAACTGTGAACCACATCCTTGGAGTGAAGCAATAACTCTGCATGTAAGATGCCAAGGGGCCAGTCCTGCTGCCTTTACTGACAGCAGGAGCACAGATATTCACTGGAGAAAATCCCTAGTGTTAAAAGGAAAAAATGCATAGATCTGTGTCCATTTACCATACAAACTCATGACAGACAGAGCAGAAGGTGGGTTGTGGGAAGAAAGTGGCCGTGAACTCGTGACACTTGACGTTATGGATTTTGGCCTGTTTGATGGCTCCCCTGCGCTGGTGCAAGGAGAAAAAGCCTTCAGTCTCACAGTCAGCCAGATCCTTGGCATCTGGGGGAAAAGGAAATAGAAGATTTATTAGGGTAGCCTGTCCTGATCAGGCACCTTGAGGAAATGCAGCTGCCAAAGTACTAAGTGACTGAAGCTGATGATTCACTCATGGGAATTAATATTTTTAAGAAATATGGTTTTCTGAAACTCACACAAGGCTTGTTTGGATGGTTTTTTTATCTATCATTCCTACAGGGACACGAAAATGACTTTAAATGTGGGACTCTGTGCTCCCTTGAATATTCACCATGCTGCTTTTGAAATGTAGACCAGAAATTTTCCAAGGTGAGATAATTTGCAGTTAAAAAAAAAAATAAATTTGTACAGCACTGAAGAACCATGCCCTAAAAAAGACGAAATTACATAAAAATTAAAAATTATCTATGTATGCACACAAACACACATCATAAATATATATATATGTATATATGTGGGTGTTTAACTGAATCCTTTACGTGTGCATGTACGTGTGTGTGAGTAAGTACGTGTGTATGTTCCTAGGATATTCTTTTTCCTGTTAATTTTCCATGCCAACAATTGCTCTGCTGTTTGCTGTGTCCGTGCCATTATTCACACTTCACATTTAAACTTTTTAGAACAGCAGACAAAACAATTCAGGCTACACATGCATGTACACATGTGCACTTATATATGTGCTTGTGTCTACAAATCTGGGTACGCACACGCTACCTCGCTCTCGATCTCTGTTTTGTTTTACTCATGCATTACTCAGCAAGTTACACAGGTATTCTGTGGAAACTGGTCCCCTCTGTGATCTAATTTGTAATGCAAACACAGCTTGCATTATGGATGCTTTGGACTCTGATATAACATACAAGGAGGCAACAATCATCTATTTGATGTTAAAGGTAGGAATGGCTGAAGAAGATATCAGTATGGACATGCTATTAGCTGTTTTCAGTACTTTTGTGTTTCTATAAATGGAAGGTCCTTCTAGACATCTACACCTTGCAATTTCACCCCACGTCTGAGGGTGTGAGAATTTTGGCATCAAAGACAGCAGAATAAGACTGAGCATTTGGATTGCAACTCATTTTCTTCAACAAAGCCAAATGCATTTCACATAGACATTGAACTGTGCAGGTGGGATTCAGTTCCCAGTGAAGACACGTAAATGATGGTGTGTCTCCTGTCCAGGGTGACTAAGCTGCTGCCACATCCTTGGAGGTCTAGCTGGAGCAGGCAATGGAGCCCGGTCAATGACTCAGTTCATCTTGCAGCAGAAATTTGCATTTAATGAGATGAATCACTCTTTAGGTTCTTTTCCTGTTTTGCTTAGATTGCTCTTGATCTTAAAAGCCCAGCTAACAAGTATACTTAGGTGTTGTCAACCGTAAATTGTATCCCAACCTTTACATCTTCACCATAATGCAAACCACGACACTTCTTACATGCATACATACAGGTACAATGATTTCAGAGGGAGCTGGCTCCTTATGTGTCTATTCTGTCTTGCTTGGTGTATTGAGAAAATCTATCACTTTAGTGGTAAAACAGCCAAAAATCTGCCATGCAAATCACAGAGGAACAGTCAATCTTCATCCTCACCATACAATAAAACCTGCTTTTCTGGAGTGTTCATTTCAAACTGTTATGATAGTTCCTAAGAATAAATCAGTAATAACTTAGGCACTGCTTTCAGTGAAGACACCATGTCTGCCCCACATAACCAGAAATATCATCTATCAATTAACAAACAAAATCACTTGCCACTTATTTCCAGGAAGTATCTTGCATTCATCAGCATTCGCCCTTGAGGTTTCAGTTCTAGCTGGTTGAGAAAAGTGAAAAACAAGAAAAAAAGACCAATGTAATCATTAAACACTCATTCAAAGAAGCAACAATCATTTCAGATGACTCAAGCTGTCTCCTTGTCCCAGTGGGAACTGGTGAATGCCAATGAAGGCTAATTTTTGGGTTGCTCATACCCATGTGGGGCAACAAGGCGGAGCGGGAGCAACTGTAGGGAGAGGAGACTAGATCACCTCTTATCAAACTCTCAGAGTGGCATGATAGAAGAGAGAAATGTGACTAAACCACAGAAGCTGTACGCAGATTTTCAGACACCAGCTCAGGACCAGTATTATCTGTAGAAACAACTCGTCATTCCCAGCCGATTTTACAAGGGGAAGTGGAAGCATCTCTAAAACAATCAGCCAGCTTCATTCAGGTACTTAAAAGAATCTGAAATCTTTTAGAAATTTAGTTCTGCAAGTCTAACTTCCATTACAGTTAATGTGAGTGATGCCACAAGGTTTCTCAGGCATTTTTTCCCACTGGACGTGGAAATTCCCACCTATCTGAACCTCTGTCCACAGATGCCTTTGTAAATCTGGATCCACTTGCCTAGGAATAAGAAGACCTACATTCAAGGATTTCTTCAGCCTGGGAACCACAACAGTGCCCTCTCCACCCACTTCCAGCAGTCTGAACGAGTTTACCTCTCTACCTTCCAGGTGAAACAGTGCCCTTGCCCAGAAAAGTGAGAAAAACATTATTCTCTCCCCTCATGACCCTTGTGGTATGGGATATCTGGGACTACCTTCCCTAGGTCGTGACTTGTATTTGGGAGTGAGTGGAGAGAAGATCTCAGGAGCTGCTACCAGGCTGAGACACTATAAGACCAGGTCACCCAAATCCACTTGACCTCTGGTCTGTTAGTCTTGCTGCAAGCAAGCAGCACCCCAGCCTACCTGCCCCCTCTCCTCCTCACCAGGCTACTGACTCCCATGGCTTTGAATCTTAGGGTTGGAGTGATGCTGAGCAGAGCCTTTTGTTTTTTGATTCCTTCTCAGTTATGTGTTAAATGTGCAAATCTCTACCAAATCTTGCTCTTAGGTCTGTTAAGTGACCAAGGCCTTTTTGACTTTTCTACTCTCTGCTTCACCCAAGAAGCTTATCCTGAGAAACTTAGCAACTGGCATGAGAAACAAAACAAAACAAAACAAAATAATCCAGGAAATCAGCTTCTCTCCAAACGTCTTTCCACTTTACTGTTATTCATGACATGGCTACAGAATACTATATGTTAAAGACCATTATCAAGTACTTTCTTGCTTGGACTACCAGGGAACACAACCTTACAGTTAGCATCCTTATGAAGACTGTTACTTCAAATTTACTCCACTATAACTCCAGTGATTTTAAAGGAGTTCCTCTGGCATAACTCTCAAGTCAGGCAGCCGTGAATCAGGTACTTGATATTAGATTAAATTTTCGAAGCTGTTTCCCCAGAGCACATAAAATAATTCACATTTAGCCACTCATATTACCATTTGTCCCCAATGAGTTTCCTAAGTGAAGATTAATACGTAGGCATGGCTCACATGAACTAGAATCCTTGCTAACAGATCCTTGCTAATCCTTGCTAATCCTTGCTATATGTTTCAATATAACAGCAGAAGGTAGCATAAATGTGCCATGCTCTTCGTTTTTTTTCCTGATATGCATGGAAGTCTTTCCTTCAAGTCATACCCATCTAGATTCAAAACATTATTCTCTGGATGGCAGACAGACCCTGCTGTCCTGCTCGTTACAGTCGCAGCCTGGCATGGACACAAGGCGTTCCACTACCCCACAGCAGCTCCCCATCACATCCTGCAAGAGAAGGTAACAATGCTCACCCATATCTCTGTCTTCCCATTGCTCTTTTTGCACCTCTCCGCCAGCACCTTGAGTTCTACCGTGGTCTCTGAAACCATTTCAGCACTTTTGTCCTTGACGACGATATGCATGACCCTGCCGTTGTTGATGTGGGCATCGAAAGTGCTGTTCCAGGGTGGGTACATGGTGGGCTTCTTCTGCACGTACACTTGACCATTTTCTGTCAACAAGAAGTGGTTTGGATTGACTGGACTTGATGCTCATCTGCACTAAGGCCACCACTCTACAGTCCCTGAGACAGAGCAACCTGGTGTAGTGGAGGGTTTCCCTGCCCATGGCAGAGGGGTTGGAACTAGATGATCTTTGAGGTCCCTTCCAACCCAAACCATTCCATGATTCTATGATTCTATTTACCCAGTTCAGGGTCTCTCTCCATGCAGGGTGTGTAATGGATCATGTTAGAGTGTCTTAGGAGGTTACTGTGTGAAGTGAAACCTGGGATGGGATTCATCTCACTTATTTTAAGTGTCTAAAATGTGCACGCCCATATCTGAACTGTCTGAATATTGGCTCCATTCAGAGTCAGTGAAAAGAAGATAATCGATATAAATCAAGGGAGTCAGGCTGTGTTCATTTGATCCAATACAGATACGTACCTTAGAAAAGATAATTTCCACCTCTAAACTCTATTTAGATCAGAACTCAAATATAGACTCTGACACCACAGATACTCACTTCTAATCACAGAATCGCAGAATGGTTTGGGTTGGAAGGGACCTCAAAGATCATCTAGTTCCAACTCCCCTGCCATGGGCAGGGAAACCCTCCACTACACCAGGTTGCCCAAAGCCTCATCCAACCTGGCCTTGAACACTTGATCAGCTGAATCCCATCACAGATAACCAGCTACATGTATCATCAATGCCCCATCCCTGGAAGTGTTCAAGGCCAGGTTAGACGGGGCTTAGAGCAACCTGGTCCAGTGGAAGGTGTCCCTGCCCACGGCAGGAGGTTGGAACTAGATGATATTTAAGGTCTTTTCCAACCCAAACCATTCTATGATTCTAGGATATGCCTCATGGCAGAGGAAAATCAAACAGGTTTGCTTCAATCTCCCCCGAAAGCTGGATGCACTTGTGTGCATTAGGTTCAGCTGGAGCACATGTCCAGTCAGTTGATACATCTCAGCTAACTCAGGGATGTTAACACATGAACATATAATTTTCAACCTAGGAAACTCTTCCTGCACCATTTCTGCACACATTAATTCCTCTTCCATCATAAGAAGGAATGGTGAAGGGTATCTCTGAGACATAGCACTAGCTGGCAGAGTTATCTCTTAGCTCTCTCTGAAAAGAGTCTCAGCCAGCTTTATTTCAGCCTATTTTATTTCATATAGCCCTGTAAAAGGCTTGGATGCTCACTCAAGGTAAATTCTATTTCACAGTTATGCTCTGCAAATTTTCAACCCATCAAATGCTGAAGTTGGTGGAATAAGAGAATAAAAAGCAGTCGAGTGAGCAGCAGACCTGTGACTCCAGTCTCCTCAAGATTCTGCTCCTGTTTCCAATAATTCCAGCCTTTCCCTCATCCCACCCAGGTGGAAAACCACATGCAGCTGATAGCCTGGAACGTCACATGTGCTGGAGAAAATTTTTCCCTAGATGGGAAGACTAATTCAGGTTTCTGTCCTTTGCTCAGCTTTGATTTACACAAGCAGGAACCCCAGGATTTCTGAGGTTTGCACCACACATTCAGGATGGATTAAAATCAGTAAACAAGTTGATTTTAAAGGTAAGTTTTAGCTACTTAAGCCTCCAAAATTATTGGAGGCAAAGGAGAAGGAGAAAAAAAGGAACCAGTGATTCCTGATTGTGTAATATTCATCTCAGGAAATGAGAGAATGTTTATTGGGGAGAGAATAAATATCAGGGCTGTGAGATAAAAACAAAAATCTCCCTTCACCACCCTGTAAACTGGTTTTCTACAAAAGTGGAAACAACTGCCAGAGCCACTGATGTAGACTATACTCATTGGATAAATTTAGGTTGAGAAGGTGGCTAACTGAGGAGAGGCAGGTGGGATCCTGCAACCAATATCGACTTGCTGAAATTTCATTCCACAACCCAACACCTGGCTCTCACAAAGCCATTTTGCTCTTGGTTCCATCACATAAACTTGAGTCGAGACGCAGTCCGCTCTGACCATCAGCACTGGTCTGCGTTGCAAAAGTGAGGGGAGACCATCCCCACAGCTTAAAATCACTTATCACCCTTGTCTTGCCCCATATGACGAGCGGTTTTCAGCTAAATCTTAGGTTCAAATTTAGTTTCCCCAAAGTTTAGAGAGTTGTAGAACACTGGAACAGGTTGCCCAGAGAGGTGGTGGATGCTCCATCCCTGGAGATGTTCAAGGCCAGGTTGGACGAGGCCCTGAGCAACCTGATCTAGTTGGAGATATCCCTGTTCCTTGCAGGGGGGTTGGACTAGATGACCTTTGAAGGTTCCTTCCAGCCCTAACCATTCTATGATTCTATGATTCTATGATCTCAAACTACGGTGAATCTGCCTTTATCAGTTAAATGGGGTTGACTTTTCATATATGCAGATTTAGGCAATCATATACCAAGTTCTTTGTCTGCAGGCTTAATTCATTCCTATCAAGCTTGCAAATATATACTCAATGCACTCTTTCAATAAAAGCTGACAAAATGAGACATAAAAATGAGACATAAACTTCCCAGCACCCGTGAATCCTATGATTCTATGATTCCCAGCATCACGGAGAACAGAAATCTCAGTAAGGACCGTTATTTCTTTGCCACATCAGTGAAACTCCACGGGTGTGAAACACAGCACTTGCAAAACAAGTGCTTTGGTTGGCATTGCGCTCCGAAACATACGGCTTAAATAAACAAATCCTGGAATGTGAATGAACTGGTCAATATATGGGATCAGACGGTCACCTCCGGCGCATCGCCGCTGACGTCTGTGGAATTCTGCCAGGGATTAATCTAACCCTGGGTTCCTGAAAAACGAAATAGCATCTGTCTTTCCCAGGCAGCAGCTTCCACTGGAGCTGGGAGCACTTTTCCTGAAGGTTTGCCGAGTTCAAACACGGAGCAGGATCTTTCACAAAGCAAATGTCACCAAGACAGGTGGTGAAATGGCACCGGGCCGGGTGGCTCATGAAGGCAGAAGCCATTTTTAAAGGGCAGATTTTTTTATACCTCAGAGGCAACTATGATCTCTGAAATGGTTTGTCTTTAGTAACAAATTTCTGTAACACTTCAAACTACATGGAGAAATTTGTCTCGTGGTTTTTTTAAAGACTATATCATAAAATATCGTTAGATTCCTGTTACAAAATGAAAAAGTGGGGAAAATAAAGGCTGCCCAGTATCTTTTCTGAGCTTCTGAAATTTCTTAGAGTGCCCTTGTTGTGACATTCTTGTGTCCACAGAGGATGTGTATTACTCCCAGACTCTTGGGGTCCTCTGTCTCAAAGACTAATTCATCATGACTGGTCGACAAGGCACAGCCTTTGGCATGAACCCAAAGGCAGACTCGAGCTCCCTTTTTGGGGAAACTAAATATATCTATCATCTATCAATGCTCCATTTGCAAAAAAAAGAACCCACGTCCCCTCCAAAAAAACCAACCAACCACCTTCTCATGCTTTGCTAATGCTACACGTGGTATATATCTGATCCCTAACAGGACATTGCAAAAGTTGGAGCAGAGTCATCTACCAAAATGGTTCCAGCACAGATCTTGCAGGGATTTGGGACTGGATCTATCCTGGATTCAGCTCTGGGTTTAGACACATCCTGCCCTGCATTCTGCACTCACTGTTATAGAGCAATCATTTGCCCTGGAGAAATCTTCATGGCCATGTGTCAGAGCACAAGGCTGGGAGTCAGGATTGTTCTCACCTCTTACCAGCTTTGCTGCTGATTGACTCCTGCTTCTTGGACACACCACTTTAGCCAAAATTTGCATATCAGGGTATCAATTTTTTCTTTTTAATCTTGTTACCATTGAGTAGCAAGTGGTTTGTGAAACCAGGGAGCCAGAGAGCAAACTACGATCAGAAAAATCACAAAGCAGAGATGCAGCTATTTCTAATATACTCCGCTAATGTTTGTCCTGAGACCTTCATTGCCTTTTGCCTTCCTAAGCTTGTTTGAGCGTGACAGCTCCTCGGGACGTTCATGTTGAGAGCATTACTGGCATTTAGAGTCAGGCTCACCTCACTGAACATCAGATGTGTGCTTCTGAGTAGACTGTCTAAACTGCCTCCAGAGTCAGCAGAGAGCACTGGGCTTTTCTAGGGTGTGATTCATCAGAACCATTATGGAAATCTTGCTCACGATGAGATGAATCCCACCACAGAAATTCTATTTGTTCCTCTGGGCCATAATGCAAAGGTAGCTGACTTGCTCAGCTATCAATATCCTTGCAGAAGACTGGAATTATAGGGGAGATGTATCCCACCATGGCCTCATCTTGTCTTAGTCACCTTGAGGTAAGGTTAGCCATCTACACATCTAGAAACCCTCCACCAGCAGCAGATTGACATCTCCCAAGGGTGATTCAACCTACTCCAAGAAGGGAGTCTGAGATGAAGTGCCTGCTATCACTGACATGATGAGGAGCCCCTCTGGCTGCTCCACCATCATCCGAGCAATGGTTAGATGACTAATAGATGCCTGTTGTGATAGGACAAGGGGTAATGGTTTTAAAATAGAGGGAGGTAGATTCAGGTTGGATATTAGGAAAAAATTTTTTACCATGAGAGTTGTAGAACACTGGAACAGGTTGCCCGGAGAGGTGGTGGATGCTCCATCCCTGGAGACGTTCAAGGCCCGGTTGGATGAGGCCCTGAGCAACCTGATCTAGTTGGAGATATCCCTGTTCCTTGCAGGGGGGTTGGACTAGATGACCTTTGAAGGTCCCTTCCAGCCCTAACCATTCTATGATTCTATGATTCCATGACTGCAATTACACTCCAGCAAACAGATATCTTCTAATAGAAGGACATAATTTTTCTTATATCTAGTCCTCGCTAATGGAGAAAAGTTTCCCTAAACACACCGTTTTATTTCTTCTTGGTAGAGGTATTACTATTTTTAGCATCATCATCATTATTATTATTATTGACTCCAATGAGCACAAAAATTATATCCCTTAGCTAGTACATTTTTGTTTGCTAGATGCCAAAAAAGGCTTTCAGCTCTGTGTAAGACAAATAAATATAGGTCTGTGCTGACCAAATTGATTTTATTCACTTTTCAACTGACAACAGACTTCAATTTGAGTTATGGCTTTCAAAGGCCTCATAAAATCAAATAGCCAAGCCTGCACAGAGCTGAAATAGGGCATATTTTCAGTAAAAAGTGAGATTTTAGGGGTATCTTGTAATGCAGTATTTTCTTTCCTTTTGAATTTACCAGTCACCACATCTTCCAGAATAATTTGAAGTATAATTTAAGCCAAGACAAAGTTTAATGTGATAAATGCTGACTCTTTTTTTAAAACCAAACAGACAAACAAAAAATGAAATAATGATTGTTTTAAAATTCTAAAATATCTTTTTTTAAAAACTACTTTAACATCCTCTAGAGGGTAGAATAATGGGATTTGTCAAGGTATAAAAAGGGATTTTTTAGTTGCTTTCATTTTTAAAAGAATCACAGCAGTTAAGTCAGGAACTTATCAAAGATTTAAGGCAAATAACAGCCAATATAAGGAATTCCCTAGCACTGAAGGTCTTGATCTTTACGATTCTTGAAAAGCAAAACTGAAGAACTTTTCATCCTCTCACTGGGACTATTTTCATGCGAAAGACATATAAGAAACGTTTTCCCAGTGAGGGACTCATCAGTGTTGTTTAATCACAAAAAGTGTGCAACAATCCATGTATCCAGACACAGAAAACAGCTTAGCAGGAGGTTTCACTTTCAAACATTTCACATAGTATAGTAATTATGCTGAGAAATTAACTCTGCAAAGACTGAGGCTGCTTGAGAGCTATTTTTTTTTTAAATGATAGAAGTTACTGGACCTCTCAGCTCCTCAAAGAAATGTGATAAACAAAGACAGCTCTCCTAGGATATTTCTAGGACACTCAGATTTCATCTGTCTGGAGTTCCACTGACAAACAAACAACTGCTCATATAAAAGTGAAACTAAATACAGCTCAGCTCATCTGCTCTGTCACCTGCTGGGACCCGTGATTCAGTTGATAATAACCTCAAATCAAAGACACGGACTTGTTAGGCATCATCTTAAAATCCGATTGTCTTGCAAGCCATGCCAAACCCAAACTTGCACTGTGCTGAGACACGAAAGACCCTTCACAAACCCTCATAAAGATTTGCTAATGCGCTTCCTCCTCATCAGTAATGACCTCAAGTTACGCCAGGGGAAATTTAGGTCAAACATCAGGAAAAATTTCTTTACAGAGAGGGTTGTGAAATATTGGAACAGGCTGCCCAGGGAGGTGGTGGAGTCCCCATCCCTGGAGGTGTTTAAAAACCATGGGGATTTGGTGTTGAGGAACATGGTTTAGGGACTCTGACAGTGCAGGGTGAATGGTTGGACTCGATGATCTTGAGGGTCTCTTCCAAGCAGATGATTCTATGATTCTATGACACAGTCAGGCACACACGTCTCACAAAAGCTCACATGCATATCGAACACCTCCCCACTTACCTGACTCCACGGCTTCTTTAACCATCACGGCACAGTAAGGGTTAATTACCTCCCCCTGAGACGGCAGGTAAGGGCCACTGTCGTAGTTGGACAAGCCAATACGCAGAAAGGGAGACATGACAAGTCCTGTGCCAAACAAAAGACAGGCGATATTTGGGAAGAGTCTAAAAACTCCCTCGGTTTTAACCAGCCTCTTATCTCCGCCGGACAGGGGTACGCCGGCCGTTAGTTATCCATCCCACTGGAGACTCTCTGACTTCCTCCACTGTCTGGCAAGACGACGGACCGACCGAGTGCGTAGCGTCACCCAGCTGTCGGATTAACCGCGGAGCTGAACTCATCGCCGGGCTGGAAAGACCCGCAACAGCAGCTCCGAGTCCTGGTGACTCAACGCCAGCCGTCGGGAGCGAGAACGACAATACACAGAAGCCAAATCAGGACTTTCTTGGCTGGGATAACTGTAATTTATATTGAGTCATGCGTCCACGAACCCAAATGCTACGAGTATAGAAAGGGTTTTGGGAATACAAGGCTGTTGGAAACCGGCAAGCTGAACATGAAACTGTGAAATAACTGCGTGCTATTTATATACAGCATGGAAATGATCTCCGGCATTCAGTTGCATGGGTGCTGACCCGTATTCATACATGAAGCTATAAAGAGAATATTCAGCTCGTACAAACCACGCTGTGCAGAGAGTGGAGCAAAAAAATAAAAAAAAAAGGATCTTGGGATAATTTTACGCAGCTAAAAACAGAAACATATAAAAGCAAGATGCCAGGAAACACAACAAAGCCTTTGGGTTGGTCTTCTCTGTAGGCTCCTTCAGACCTTCCAGAGAGATTTAGTGAAGCCAGAAATTATTAACTGCTGTAGCTGGTGCCTGTCACTGTGCCATCTGGGCACAAGGACTGGGATTTACCACCCAACTTTTGTGTCAACTTCTAAGCTTGTCATTCCTGGCTCCCCTTGTAGTCAGTGGGGTGCAAGATGCACTACGAACTCGGCTGTAGATGTCTATGTCTTGGAGCTCCAAAGTTAAAAGACATGAGTCCTACCACCAGCTGTTACCTGTCAATCTATTGAAAACAATAAATTGTTCAACTACCACAGTAAAAAGTTGAATGACTTGTGGTGTGGGATGCAGACCAAGTCTCTTCTCCTTTTTACATATAAAATGCTCTATCCCAAGGGCAGCTTCTCTTGCCTCATGCAGAAGAAGATCCAGATTCTTTGCTGGGAATGGCATTTTCTTACCTGTAAATGGTATTTTCCTGGCAGACAAGTTCAGTCTCAGGCAAGACGGGCTTCTCTTTTCATCACAGGTGTGGACAACATGGAAAGGATTTTCTCAGCTGAAAGAATGAAGATAACTGCTCGTCTGGGTGGGCTGACTTTAAAACTTGGACTCTCTGTTCAAGGAGACAGGAGACGAGACCATCAAGGAGAGAGGAAAACTTGAGAAACCAAGACGCAGCCCCTTGCTTGAGCACCTTCTCTCTTACCCAGCAGTGTGGAGCGATGAGTTTCCATCAGCCCCTTCTGCGAACGTCTAGGGCGACTGTAAAACTCAGAACAACTTTCCGTTAGCGCATGGCCAGGTCACAGCAGTTTGTTGTTTTGCTCGTGTGCTGGATATGGTGAGATCTTTGACTTCTTCCTGTTTTAGAAAACGAAGACAAACAGCTACAGTTAGTGCTGGGACTGAAACACCAACTATCCTGGCCCGAATATTCACAAGTACGGAGCACTCACACTGCAACACTTCCTGATACTTTTGCAAACAGATGGTCCATGCAGCAAACTGCAGCTATTCTCTGACAGAGGTATCAGCAGCAGAGATTTCCCAGGAGGTTCCCCTAAGCTTGTTACTCTACATAAGGCAAATCCATGCAATGGACAGCACGGGAAGACTCTCCTTCTTGTTTGGGCTCCTGTGTAGGTTAGTTAACAACAGGGCTGAGTTTTCAGGAAAGCAGCAAGGACTCATAAACTCGCTTGGATACTGTGCTTAAAGGAGAAGAAAACCATCAGGTTTCTGGGGCAGACAGGATAGGACAGAAAGAGAGAAAAACATCCTGCGATCAATGTCTACTGTGTATCCCTAGGAATGCACAGATCATGGGCCACCAGCAGCTATCGGATCTCCTCTGAAGACTATCCAAGGATCTCTGCATGTGGCATTGCCCTCAACTGGGAAAACATCAGCACTTTTGCATTTTTGCAGAAGCTAGTGGGAAAGACAAAGCACAACCTGGGGCTGGATGCAGGAGATGAGGACAGTCCTGTTCTCCTCTGGGTGAAAGCAGCATCTCTCTCAAGGGTGTTTCAGACAGATGATAGCCAAGTGCCTGATGAACTTGCTCTGGAAAGCCACTTGCATTTAGATATTCAAGCCCTTCTGTGAGGAGGGACATTTATGTCACTGCACAATAGTACAGTGAATGGTTTATGAGTGGTCTGCAGCACAAAAAGGCTAAAATATCTGTCTGGACTGACAGAAACAGAGAAATCTGATCAAACTAGGTAGGTGTCGTGGGTTAGGCTGAGTCCGGCAACCAAACCCACGCAGCTCTCCCAGTCCAGTAAAATGGAGAGGAGAGAAAAATGTAATAAAAGAGCTGAGGATCAAGACAGGAACAGAGGAGCACCCACCAACCACGGTCCCGGGCAAAAGAGGCTTTTTCTTAAAAGCAAAACTATTTATTAACAGCTACCTAGAAAGAGAAAAGCACACAAAAACGGTTACTTAAGAGAATAACGAGAAAACAAGGCCAGGTCTTAAAAACAACACCACTCCCCCCTTCTTTGCCTCTTCTTTCCGGCTCTACCTCCTCCCCCCAGCGGCGCAGGGGGCAGGGAATGGGGGAGTGCAGGTCAGTTCATTCCAAGTTGTTACTGCCGCTTCTCTTAAAGGAAAAGGAGTCCTTACACCATTGTCCCTTGCTCCAG